TCTTCGACTGACGAAACGCATTCAATCCATATTGTACCGCTGCTTTCGCCTCCACTCGAGAGGCGAAATCACGCTTGTGGTCCTCGTTTACAAGTCGCGGTGATGGTTCTTCAATCACTGCCGCTCGTTGAAGTATAGTGCAAGATCAGGCGCCACCTTCTTTCGCAAGATGTCAGCTGTCTTAATACAGTCATCCGCGTGAGGCGTCAAGGACACAAGAGGCGCGTTATGGGCCATCACGGAGAGAGTGAAGTTCACAGTTGTACTATCAGGGTGCACGGCTGCACAGTCCTTCCTAAGGTGACTAATGGTGAGGCAACGTGACAAGGCTCACGATTCAGCGCGTGCATCATCACCGCCCTGACCCGCTTAGCTCCTTTCGTGACATGTCGATGCTTCCTTTCCAGCTCTTTAGGGTACTCCATGGTTTCAGATGTGACTAGTCCGCGATGCGCACCGAAGAAGTGTACACCGTCGGCTTCGCGGGACTCTACTGGGAGACAGTTGTTGATGTCGGTGCCGCGACCGAAACCCGTATCTCGCTCGCCAAGACCGAGCTCTTGCCGAGCAAATGCACTTAATGGAACATAGAGGTCGTAGCTTGAGTAAATCCAAGCATATCATCCACCTTAGACGGGTCACCGGCACTTAGCAGTTCGAGGCGGAATTTGCCCACCCTAAGGTTAGTAGCCGCCCATGCATCGCGCGTGGCGCGATCGTTGGAGAAGAAAGTCGTGATCGGAGATATTCTATAAGCCCCCGAATTGATAGAGTGCCATGATAACTGAGCTAACTCTCTTTTTTTCTGTAGCAGACGTAGCAGCTGCTAGCATCAGGCTAAACATTTTTCCCATCGCTCCGAGCTCAAGTAGAAATAGACCGAACGGCAGGCGCGCATAAAGCTTGTGCAGGAGGCGAGTGGGCTGGTGTACTGCATAAGCCTCCCGCTCAGAACCACGTGAAATCTCGGAAGGAAAACAGGCCCCAACGATCTGAAACTGACCTCCGATCCATGCCCCATAAGTCTTTACCTCGATCGGCGTCATTCTACGTCAAAACTCTTTATTCCGAAGGCAGCACCTTCGGTGCGCGCACTCGTATAGTCGAAGTCTAGCAGCGTCTGCAGACGACGAGAATGTATATCCCTTCGCTTTTGTTAACTCATTGATCGTGTTCCCCATTCAAGCTGTTGGGCTTGTGATTGACGCACGCGCGATTAAAGGGCGTACCGGCGGGTGATCTGGGGCAGATGGACACTCATTATCGCCACCGGTTAGCGCATTATATCAAGTACCACATCCTCCCCTCGTCTTGCTGCACGGGAGGACCGCCGAAAAGCGATGTCTGTAGGCTGTCGCATGAGGCAGGCGCGATCTCAACGTCTTCCTGTGTAGCCGCATTTGTTAGAAAGTGAATATTGAGTAAATGAAATGATCTGAATGAAAACGCGCGCCAGACGCGTTTCGGCCCCCCGCCAGGGGTCTCGGGAGGGGCTTGTCAAAATACAAGTGAGAACTACCAAACCTATATGTTTATGCTGCTTTATACAACACATAGAACCCTGTAGAACATTTCATATATTCCCTAGTGTAGGTTGAATCTATGGAGTCGACCTAGGTTCAACTTGCACTTCCAACAGCATTGACAACGACCTTGACGACATTCGAGTCCATCTGTGGGACAGGTTGGTCGTCTGGCCCGCTTCCGGCTCGCTCATCATCGTGCGCATCGCTCAATTGCGTAGGCGGGCGGCGATCATGCTCACCCATGTCGCGTCCAGTCGCCATGAAGGATACGCCGACTTGATTGGTGGAATAAAAACACGATTTTTTCACGTGTACCAATCACGTCCTCGAGGTTTACTTGTGCGCGTGAGACGGCAAATTTGAGAGTTCTGAGAAACGTACTACAGTCGGTTCTCTGTACTGACTGCATTCGTTTCCTAATTAGGTAGACATGCCTTGTCTCTCTGGACGCGAATCGCGTCAGAGTTGTCGTTATAGTCGCAATTGCTCCGCTAAGAAGGTCTTCCTACTTAACCAGCCCTGTCGAGGCCGCGCACCTTATTTAAGATGTGCGGATTGGTTACGAAATTTAAGCCTTTCCGAGTACCTTGAAAGCCTGCTTCCGCATGGTACTTTCTAATTAGTGGGTGGACTCTTCGTACCGCATGAAGAGGAAAGACTCCAATCAGTCGTTGTAAACGAGGCTCATATCGATCCCATCAGTTCGAAAACCCACGCCACTTAACGAGGTAACTCGTGTTCCACATCCCGATATGTCACGGATATTCCATATCTAAACCACTAAAGCGTTGACTATTGCGCGAATTCACCGACGTATGTGGTGGTGGCGAGGGAACCTTGGCCGTCTCAGCAATCGAACTAGATTGATGTCGACGAGCAGCATCGCTTTAATCAGCGTATATAGACGATATCGATCCAGGGCGGGTCAGGCGCCGGATTCGAACCGATACTGTGTAGAGGCATCGTGAAAAATCATCCATAGGATCGCACCAAAAGTGCTTTCTCGCAACTAGATATTAAGTCAGGGGAATGGTCTCATGTGGACAAGATATCGGTGGCCTTACGGAAGGACTCCCTATTTCATGATGGGATTATCTCTACACACGACTCCACTGGAAGCCTGGTACATCACTGAGAAAGACTAAAGATTCTAGAGCGGAAATCTCCACCGTCGAAGATAAATCAGCCTGTAATGTACAGTCAAAGACACCTCACGTAATAAGTAGAATGCTGCACATCCTGCAATGCAGATCAATCGTACGCGTTGTCTAGACAAAGTAACACACAATATGGGCATTGTTTATGGATAGTAGTCTACCGCTGCCCATATAAGTCCCTACCATTCTTAATAACACTTACCGTAGACTAGAGAATTGAGCCCCCCTCATTGAGTAAAAACTAGAATTGTAGCTTATCCATATTTATCAGCGTTTTTTTTGTTAATCCGCTACTTCCACTGGGGGAACTTGAACACAGCGGACTCCTCCTTCAGACGTAAATTTACGGCCAACTCGCCTGCATATTTTTCATTGTACCTTATGCGGTCTACGAAAAGATCATTTTCTATAATGAGCGATGACGTCATCATCCTCTAAGGTGAAGTCATCGGCGATGATGAATATACCAGCGTCTTCTTATTCGCCTGAGTCGATCGACGTGAAGCCATTGTTTGGTATGTCTTCTTCGATGTCGATCACATCGAGAGTGGTGTCTTTGGTGCCGACGCTAACGTTGGTGCAAGATAAACAAGAGCTTAAACTCTATTTATAACTCGATTAATTTTTTTCTAGTTTTTTGCATGATCTTTTTCATCTCCCCAAATTTATTTAGTGTCATCTTCGATCAAGGTGAGGATGCGGGGATGGTGTAAGCCATACAAAATGAACGGTGTATGCGCGATCGACGCACTCACCGTGCGGTTTATCAACGATTATCCATCGGAAGAGTTTAGTCCACTCGTTCAATAGTGAACCTGTCCTCAAAGTATTTATTTACGACACGATTGGTACGTTCATTATACCCATCTGATTTTGGATACTCAAAAGTGTTGAATTTACACCGCTAATTACTTACATGCTCCATGCCACTAGGAATGCGCAATATGGCGATTACTTACATGTAGGCACAAGAATCCAGAAGGCTTCGACTAGCAATAGGTGCTTGCGAACGAAGGGCCATTATACGTATACTTCACAATTTACCTTCTTCCTCCTTCATCTACTTCAACAAAATGTCGCAATGTTCAACTTTGTTCCCATAGATAGTAATAGGATATGCCAACAAACCGCCGTAAAAATAGAATCTCAATTTTTTGGACAAGTTTATGGGGAGATTAAGTCGATAGATTGTATCAATATAACGACATGAGAATGAAGCGCTGTCATGTAGACGGGCGCTCAATAGGTTGCCACGCACTACGCAAACACACATCTTCTTGCAAGTACGTGGAAGCGGTTTGAGCGCCTTCTCTTCGCGTGCCGTGTTTTGTGGTGAATAAGTGGGTGGCCGTAAAGCACGGTCCTAGTTTTCTAGGTCCAACATTGTGGTAGGGCTACGCAGAAGCGGGGTTCCGTCTTCCGGCGAGCACTTGCGATCTAGGGTGTAAATAAAAGACTGGTAGCTACCTAGTATAATCAATTAGCAAAAAAATGGTTATCGGCTGAAATGCGATTGCTTGGATGCGATCGATGATTCGATGCACTACCTAAGCTACGCATTAATTTGTCGAAGCATCCTTGGGGGACTTCAGTCCATGACATCAACCCGGTACGCCTCGAAATTATATAACTTCAAGGACGACATCAGTGTGGACACGACGCTTGTGTCACACATTCTACTGGTAAGATCCTATTCATGTGTCTTGCCGAAATAGTCATGTCAACGGGATTCATCTCGTTACGAATCAACTCAACAGGACAAGCTCGGGTGTTGTAAAATGAGGAACCTTGTTTGATGTAGCGAAGTCATAATACCAGGATGCTTTTGACAATTTTGCTTCACCTATGTCAAAGCCCTAAACATAAATGCTAATCCTCTGCTTACCTCCTACTGAATGCGTTGGGCTGTAGTAATGAGTACGTGGGCTACTTCGTAGTTTGTTCCAGCCAAAGAGCAGTGTGTTGTAAGATACTGCCTCGTATCACCCGCTTATCATGTCAATCTCTGCTGAGGTAATTTATAGAATGACATCATATTGATATCCACATAATGCGAAGGGGTGGCCCCGTTGTACGAGGTAGGGTGTGAATTAAATGTACAGTAATTTCGATGCAGGTTCGCCGTTTTGCTAGATTTACGACCACCCCATTTGTGAATGAAGTGTCGCCGGCCCATTGTGTCAAATCTGTCAAGTTGAGTCAATCTATTTGATTGTCTCACTTTTAGTCATTTGCTATCTCTTTTATGTCCATTCTCATGACATTTTGATCGCCTCGTTCGCGCGTCAGTCGTCCTACAATTGATATTTCAATCACGATGAGTTCGTGCCACGCATGGCGCTGCGTCACGTTCGACGCGACAGGAACGTTATGCCGTCTTGCAGAGCCAGTGGGAGAGACATATCTACAGTTCTGGAAGGCTGCGTCAGGTCAGTCGTTCTCGTCGTGCCGCCACGAAGCTGCAGTCGCCGCTCTGACGTCGCACTTCCCCACTGAGTTTCGTCAGCTCTGTCGCCATCTGCCCAACTTTGGGTCGAACGGCGAAACTACAAGTGCGTTCCCCTGGTGGCGACAGCTGGTGCTCAATGTGATGCAAAGCGCTCAAGTGGCTGACTGTCTCGCTCATAACGAAGAGCAAGCTGAGCGCTTTACGCGCGACTTGTATGCGCACTTTGGCTGCCCGAAAGCCTGGTTAGTGTTTGATGACGTGCAGCCGACACTGGAGAAGCTAAAAGCCATGGAGGTTCCTATGGCAGTCATCTCCAACTTTGACGAGCGGTTGGAGCCCCTTTTGGAAGGACTACAGCTCCGAGACTACTTCCAGGTGGTCACTGCCTCGTTCTCGCAGTCAGAGATGAAGCCGCATGCGTCTATTTTTCAGTCGACATTCAAACAGCTACAGGGCGAAGAGGGGCCGTTTGTTGCAAGTGGATTTTTGCATGTAGGGGACCACCCGTCGAAGGATTTTAGAGCTGCAAAGGCTATTGGGGCCCATGCTAAACTGCTGTGGAGGGCAAAGCATCGACCGCCACCCATCGACGTCGAGAGGAAGAACTGCATTGCGTCGTTGCAGGAAATATTTTTGGAGCAGTAAGGGGGACTAGCAACGTTGACGCACTTCGTACAGATTGCTTGCAGCCAAAAGCGGTCCGACCATTGGCTCGGTTTGATCGCAGTAGTGCACATGTCGAAAGCAAATAAAAGGATGTCACTGCACAAACAGAACATTGGAAACTGAAAGGATTCCACGGGTCGTTCTTTTGCGTTTGACGAATAGCTCGGTTGCTTGACATACGTGCAATGGTAGCACCGGCATCCTCTTCGTGTGTCCTTTGTGCCTTTTCGTGTTTTCATCTGCAGTGTTGCAATATACAGGTGATGAAGCTATCAACCAGATCGACGACGTAACCAGGCTCGTCAATATACTAATTAGCGATTGTTGGACTCACTGTTGATCTACCTCATTTAGTACATCGATGACCTGAGTTTGTTCACATTTTTTACAGCAGGTGGAACCCGCAGCCTTTGCAGCGACGTCATTGCGAGTGACAGGAACGACAACAGACGGCAATCTGTCCGATTTTACCATCTCTCATAGATGAGCTCACCTCGCTGGCAATCCTAATGTATTTCTAGCAAATGGCATAGTGTTTTGTCAATCGGGCTCAACAAATTGACAGCGACATGCTGTGGCGCCAAAATTGCTGTCAACGACATCAAGCAGAATGAGTGTAGTGACAACTGCGTACCCACCCTCAATACAAATGAGGCGGCAACAGGTGATCAGTACCGGTAACAGAAGCCTCAGCTGCTAGACCGCAAGGTTGAAGTATTCATTTCAGTATCGATATCGCTCTATCGAATATTTGGCCCAGTAATAGAAACATATCGAAAGCACGAGCCGCTGTAGTGGGGGCCGTTGGCCATTTTATCGCATAGGCGAGACGAACACCGTAGCTTGATCGAAAGCTGATGCTTCTCGCTTTCATCATCGGATAGCGCATGGATTCACCGTGAAGTTTTATACGCAATCGACGAGTTCTGCGCACCTATTATCGGTGAAGTACTCTTACCGACCCAGGCGAACAACTACTTGCAGCAACCAGCACAGCTACAGCCAGTCGGCGGAAATCCGGATCAGCGAATCAAAGCAGAAGTAAAAATGTAGTCCAAGATCTTTGTCACCCATCAGACCACATAGATGCAATAGTCACAGCTACCATGAAGTCTCTCGGAATGGTGCGGACGACAAAGGCATCGGGCTTCGTGGAGAAGGTACTGCAGGCTTCTTCGTTAATGCCACTGATGGTGCCGCATGTACCCATAAGCCGGCGCATACGATTACGTCGTTTCCACATTTCCGTTCTCTTTGTATTAGTATAAATGGAGACATAAAGCCAATTTTGTGTCACCATCCGACTACAGTGTCTGTCGTACTCTACAAATAAACGGGTGGACAGTGCATGAACGATGTGTGGCTGCAGTCGGCCAGCTTGGTAGCAATCATAGCCACAACGCGCAGCAAAAATTATTGCCGGAGCTCCTTCGAGTCCTTTACACATGATCATACTGCATTTACAAAAGAGTGAGAGCTGCTGCGGGTACGTGAGAATAAGTTCTGCGTCATCAAATCTTGGCTTTGCCCCGTACTAAGCTCTTCTCAGTGCATCGCGAAGTTTAAGAGCGCCAGGGACGTTTCGAGCGCCCAAGGATCTACTCTGATGAAGGCTTAGCTCTGCATCAGGTGGTGCTTAACTTTTGCACGTTAAGGATTCGGGTCACAAATTGCGCAGAAGTTTTTGGGCCGCCACCACCACAACTACCCTCACCACAAAAAAGGGAAGACGCCATCAATCCTCTTCGATACAGCCACATCATTCGATCGCAGCTCGCCTCCAGCACAGGTTTTTCATATATATCTGATAGATTCGGTCGCAAACATTGGTCCACCAGTTTCATTAGCTCATTGTGTACCGAATCAGATGGGCCAATACTCCGAAGCACGTGAGATTGATACGAACACTCTCGTCCATCCACACAAGACGGGGAAGTAGTGTGGTGCGCACCAGAGGCGCCCGAACGTGAACGCCCGCATCTACTTGAGCCATTTCTGACAATTCGTAGCGGCAAGATGGCAGTAGATCTACCTTGCCTGGTATGCATTGGCGCTTGTAAAAATCGTTCTTGGTCCGCTCCTGACCTTGCGGTAGCCACGCATGTTCTTGTAACAACAAATGCGTCGTCCAGAGCAGTCTTCCTGCCGCGGCTACCACTTTTGAGAGCCTAGAAACGTGCCATTTCTCTTGAAAAGGGCATGAGACCTTGGAAATAGAAGATGAGTATCCATGTGGATCCAGCTAAAGTACTGGTTTACCGTTTAAACGACATCAACCATGAATAGGGTACGACTCGCCTCTCTGCAACAGATGACTGCTTTATTCATCCTGCGTGACAGAATTTCTTTTTCAGCAGTCTGTTCTGCTTTTTTAACTGAATTCTCGACCGGATAGTCCTTACATTGCGAAAAGGAATCGGTTGGCCTCGTGAAAGTCAAGTAGAAAGGACTCTAACGAGGCCAACCGTTTCTCGCTCGCATACAACTTTGGTTGTGATGCGTGTTTCCCGGTTCAAAAGTCAGCTAGAAGTGTCTCCCTACAGTCAATGAAGTGGCAAATGCGACCATATCCCGTCGCTACTTGATGGGCGAGTCATGAATCGCCATGACCCATGACGACTACTCAGGCTCTGTCATAAGTGACTGGGGCTTTCCTGCATATATGTCCATTGCCTCTCCTTCCTTCGCTGTGAATCGACTTTGGTCTGGTCGATGCGGTGGAAGCAGTCTATGTCTGCACGCTCGACAAGGAGCAACTCTTTTGCAACTGCTGCACTTCTGCACCTGCTTGAGTGCAACAGTTGCCCTACGGCCCTGTAGTAATGGGTCCGTCGGACTGCAAAAGCCTCTGCGGACGAAGAAGGTCAGACGGCATAAAGCCATCACGTGCATTTATTTGTATTACTTGTCCTTCGAACTAACTGGTGTCGAGAAAGAAGACGCGAGACTTTGTTCTCTCCTTTCTCTATTACTATGATATACGTCGTCGTCACAACAGATTGAGCGGCGGGGGGCTGCTGCGACTCACTCGCGTCGACTTAGTTGCTGCTACTGTTTCGGATGTAGTACGGTTCGTCCTGGAACTCCGGTTCACAGTACGGAAACAGCGTGTCATCGCCCGACGGCGTAAACAGGTGCTTGCCCGCGTCAATCATCACGTACGTGCCCGCAAAGGCGCAGACGACAATGACGACCACGGACGCCCCCTTGTCCCAAACGGACATGGACTTCCAGTACACCCGCAAGGAGATGATCACTGGCAAGAGCAAACAGCTCGTCGTGTGGGCAGTGGCACCCGTGAAGTCCTGGAGGTCGATAAAACGCCTGCGAGCGAGCACAGCAATGAGCACCAGAATGGCGACGATCGTGAGACGCAGAGCCACGTAGCGCAGCGGGTTCTTGCGATACGGCGCGTTCACTTCTTCGGCTGTCATGCCGCCGAACTCGAGCGCAACCCGCAGGTGCGACATCCGTCCCGACTCTTTCTCGACCAGACTCGCAGCCGACGCTTGACGGGAGTGCGTCCCGTCCGCAGGCGTCGAGTTCTGGAGATACGAGCGCTTCTCCTTCGTCGAGCTCTGGAGATACGAGCGCTTCTCCTGCGTCTCGATATCCATCTCGGTGTTCATCTGGTCCAGCAACTCTCCGTTGAATTGAACCACGTTAGGGCTCTTGTGCATGCCGAGGATCAGCCGCTCGGCCATGAAGAACGGCGGCATCATGAGCGTCGAGAAGGCCATGGAAATGTGGATCTGCATGAACAAGTACGCCATGACCACGGCGCCGCGGTCGGCGCTGAAGCCGAGAGGAGCCAAACCAAGCGGGTCCGACGTGTTCACGATCGAGTAGAGGATGTTGCCTGACAACTGACAACCACCGGCCGTGTAGCCAGCCAGAGCCATGACAACGGAGAGCCCCGAGATGAACGCGATCGTGATCACCACAACACGCGGCATTCGCTGCGGCTGCGAGTGTTCCCGCTGGAGATCGGGGACGACAATGGCAGCTCCGTAGGCCAGTGCGAGGTTCCCGAAACACGTCAAGACTTGATGAACCGACACGGCGGGAGAAGGGACGGAGCCGTGGCCGCGCATGTTCCACTGCAGGACGGACACTGCAATGATGTCGGCGATGATCGTGCCGAGACAACCGGCGAAGGCCATGCCGGAACTCTCTTTCAGTGTCGGGATCAGACACATGGGGGTGACCATAAGAGTCATGAAGATGATCCAGAAGATCTGACTGAACGAGTCTGGAAACAGGACTTCCAGCATCGTGCTGCCAAGTATGAGGAACGAAATGGGGCACAGGAGACACACTCCCATCTGCGAGACCACCGTGAAGAAACGACCCCATCTGCCGAGAGCCCACTCGCCCAGGTCACCGTACGTCCGCACCGAAGATGGCGCCACGAGCATCACTTTGGACAGTTTGAGCGTCGCGTATGTGTTGGCGAAGACCATGAACGAGAGAGCGACGGTGGCGAACACGGGACCGGCACGCGCGTAATTGGAAGGCATCGCCAGCGAACCGATGCCGCAGACGCAACAGAAGAGATTAAAGGATGTTTTCGCATCTTCGAGTGTGAAGAAAGCGTCTTTGCCATTGGGTCCGGTCATCGCGGATGGATGGTCGAACGAGATGAGAGGGACGACGGCCGATGGCGGGGGGGGCGGGACGTAGTCGGGGACTTGTTCCGGTGAAGAAAATCGTAAAGTGAGCGACTTCAGCGCGTGAGACCCTAACGACTCGGACCACAGATCCCTCGATAGGGTCTGCATCTGCAAGCTATGCCTGACGCCGAGCCGGATAGAAGCGATGCACTTGACGGCTCTTCTTTTGCTTCGGGCAAGCGCACGCTCGGTGCGAGTGAAAGCCGTTGCGTTTGTACGAAGTGCCGGGGCCCATTGTGCCAGAGACGCGGTTGAAGTCCAGCTATGCACTCTTTGCAGCCTATCTCACGGATGGACTCGGGCTCAGACTCAGCGCTTTGCGAGCTCCTGTCCCTGCCCTGTTTGCAGTAACTTGATGTTGAAGCAGAGGATAGCAAAGCTGGCAGAGGCTCGTCTGGCTCAAGATCTGGACCACCACATGCAGATCAAGCGCTGTGAACTGTACGATCTCCAGACGTTACAGTCGCTTTGCGATACGTCAGTATGCTCGGATGGTCGTGCTGCCGCTCAGCCCATCGTCTGCGAGTGTACGATACTGGACGCAAAAGCGTCCCCGTAATCGATACGGTTTAGCTCCAATGACTTGCCACCCAGGTTGAACCAGCTGAGTAGAAGCGAGATTGACGCTATATCTCGCCACTCTCGCCTCCACAAAACTTCGTTGATCGTGTAGAAGCTGTTGATCGTGTAGAAACTGTTGATCGTGCAGACATCACGGGACTTCCTTTTCGAAACAACTTGTGCGCAAAGTTGTGAGAGCATTCAGCTGATACCGACTGAAGCGACGTCATGTTGTCGAAACAAAGATAGGTTTCTGGCCAAAATCTGCTGAAAGTGGTACTTAGATCGTAACGGGAAGCAGGCGGACCGGTGTCACCGATCTCGAAAAAATCCCCAACACGGAAGATCTGCTGCACAGGTGCGATAGATTTCTAGTTGCCTAATAACGTGCTCCCTCCGATATAGCTTAAGCTGGGTAAGTGGAATGCTTTATCATGTAGCGGAGATCGAAAACTGATCGGATGTTGAGGTGGAAGTACCCATAAATTTTCATCTTTTATTGTACCAAATTATGGACCTATAAAGAAAAGATCATGACTCGATTACATGTCCGTAAGACGTCCAGCTTCCTCTGCACTCTTTTGTGACGTACAGTTTCGACGCATCTGCCTACACTGTTGTCAGAGAAGTGTAGCCTGTGTTATTGCAGTATAAGTGCGGCGCCCGGTCACGCTGCCAGCACCGAGACCCAAATTACATCACACTTCCAGTATCTACCGTCAGCATAAACGCATGTGTGCTCTTGGTGCGCGCGATGAGCCTTCGCGTGGGTTCTGGACGTTTTGCGATGCCATTTGTGTATCGGTAGCGTCGTAAGAGATCATGACTACGTGCTAGTAGATGCATCAGCCAATTGCAAAGGACTCTGAATGTCAGGTGTGTAAAGCTGCAAAACCTGCCAGCGGTCTCTCTCAACATCACCGAAAAGTAGATATCGCAGACTTGCTTTGTTTGATTGTCGACACCACAACATGCTTGGTCGGTCCTGCGCATGTCCACTTCTATGAAAATGTCAGTTGTGAGAGCTTTCTCTGGCAATCGAGAAAGCACGAACGAGCCCTTCTGCTTGAGAATCAAATCGAAGCGACTGGATGAAATAAACGGGTATCGAATACGAAGCCATACTATCGCATAGCGTTCATGTGGTCTTAACGAACGCTCTGCAGCGTAAATACCCGACACACCATGCCCGAACGAAACATCCTCCGGTCTTGGAGCATGCTTCCCAGCAAAGGAGTCTTAGTCGGGCTACCCATGCGCCTCGACAGCTGCATCACATCAGCCAATGCTGTCATTTGATGGATAGTGAGTGAGGAGCCGAAACACGAGACCAAGCTTCGTCTTTTTTCACACGCATAAGCCGCGTTGCGGCCGCCGACGCTCTTGTCCTGTAATTGTTGTCGTTTGTGCCATGACACATACAGTCAGCTTACGCATCCTCGATACAGGGGGAACCCATTCTTGACATCTCGTACACGCGGTACCCAAGACAATTGATTTACAGGGGCGTATCATCTGGTCCCAATTGATTCATTGCAAATGTAGATGATCGCTGGCATCTCTGATGTAGCCGTAATGATCGGCAAGCGAAAAAAAGCCGCGCCACATGACTGGAGCGTGTAACCAGTCGCTGTCCGTTGTTGTCTTCGATACGCAGTGCGTCACGCGAGAACAAGGATAATGATTGGCTGAACAAAAAGAATAGCTGCTCCGTGCAGAAACGTAGCAGTACCACACACATTTCGGTCTGTTTGGCTACAGATGGGAAGGAGAGGGCGTTTGCTGCAGACGACCTCAAACCGACTACAGGGATGCTTCAAGTCTCTGCAGGACACGTCGTCTACGTGGCCCTCACACGATCGTTGGATGCTACGTCTCGGTACCAACGGACACCCATATAGGCGACTCGGTCTTCCGGAGACGCCATTACGAACGAACGGTCAATAAGAAGACCTCAATCGACCATCCGAGTGTAGTGACGTATCGCAAAGGCACTTCCACATCTCTGGTCTGCAGACTCGACAGCGCTTCTTCGTCGCTGCGCCGCGATTGGCCTTCATGTGGTACCCCGGATCTCGAGCCGGACGAGTTTCGACTGCTCACAGCAGCCGCGACCGCTCATTGCTGCGAACAGGGCAGGGACAGGAGCTCGCAAAGCGCTGAGTCTGAGCCCGAGTCCATCCGTGAGATAGGCTGCAAAGAGTGCATAGCTGGACTTCAACCGCGTCTCTGGCACAATGGGCCCCGGCACTTCGTACAAACGCAACGGCTTTCACTCGCACCGAGCGTGCGCTTGCCCGAAGCAAAAGAAGAGCCGTCAAGTGCATCATCGCTTCTATCCGGCTCGGCGTCAGGCATAGCTTGCAGATGCAGACCCTATCGAGGGATCTGTGGTCCGAGTCGTTAGGGTCTCACGCGCTGTAGTCGCTCACTTTACGATTTTCTTCACCGGAACAAGTCCCCGACTACGTCCCCCCCCCCCGCCATCGGCCGTTCGTTTCTCTCATCTCGTTCGACCATCCATCCGCGATGACCGGACCCAATGGCAAAGACGCTTTCTTCACACTCGAAGACGCGAAAACATCCTTTAATCTCTTCTGTTGCGTCTGCGGCATCGGTTCGCTGGCGATGCCTTCCAATTACGCGCGTGCCGGTCCCGTGTTCGCCACCGTCGCTCTCTCGTTCATGGTCTTCGCCAACACATACGCGACGCTCAAACTGTCCAAAGTGATGCTCGTGGCGCCATCTTCGGTGCGGACGTACGGTGACCTGGGCGAGTGGGCTCTCGGCAGATGGGGTCGTTTCTTCACGGTGGTCTCGCAGATGGGGGTGTGTCTCTTGTGCCCCATTTCGTTCCTCATACTTGGCAGCACGATGCTGGAAGTCCTGTTTCCAGACTCGTTCAGTCAGATCTTCTGGATCATCTTCATGGCTCTTATGGTCACCCCCATGTGTCTGATCCCGACACTGAAAGAGAGTTCCGGCATGGCCTTCGCCGGTTGTCTCGGCACGATCATCGCCGACATCATTGCAGTGTCCGTCCTGCAGTGGAACATGCGCGGCCACGGCTCCGTCCCTTCTCCCGCCGTGTCGGTTCATCAAGTCTTGACGTGTTTCGGGAACCTCGCACTGGCCTACGGAGCTGCCATTGTCGTCCCCGATCTCCAGCGGGAACACTCGCAGCCGCAGCGAATGCCGCGTGTTGTGGTGATCACGATCGCGTTCATCTCGGGGCTCTTCGTTGTCATGGCTCTGGCTGGCTACACGGCCGGTGGTTGTCAGTTGTCAGGCAACATCCTCTACTCGATCGTGAACACGTCGGACCCGCTTGGTTTGGCTCCTCTCGGCTTCAGCGCCGACCGCGGCGCCGTGGTCATGGCGTACTTGTTCATGCAGATCCACATTTCCATGGCCTTCTCGACGCTCATGATGCCGCCGTTCTTCATGGCCGAGCGGCTGATCCTCGGCATGCACAAGAGCCCTAACGTGGTTCAATTCAACGGAGAGTTGCTGGACCAGATGAACACCGAGATGGATATCGAGACGCAGGAGAAGCGCTCGTATCTCCAGAGCTCGACGAAGGAGAAGCGCTCGTATCTCCAGAACTCGACGCCTGCGGACGGGACGCACTCCCGTCAAGCGTCGGCTGCGAGTCTGGTCGAGAAAGAGTCGGGACGGATGTCGCACCTGCGGGTTGCGCTCGAGTTCGGCGGCATGACAGCCGAAGAAGTGAACGCGCCGTATCGCAAGAACCCGCTGCGCTACGTGGCTCTGCGTCTCACGATCGTCGCCATTCTGGTGCTCATTGCTGTGCTCGCTCGCAGGCGTTTTATCGACCTCCAGGACTTCACGGGTGCCACTGCCCACACGACGAGCTGTTTGCTCTTGCCAGTGATCATCTCCTTGCGGGTGTACTGGAAGTCCATGTCCGTTTGGGACAAGGGGGCGTCCGTGGTCGTCATTGTCGTCTGCGCCTTTGCGGGCACGTACGTGATGATTGACGCGGGCAAGCACCTGTTTACGCCGTCGGGCGATGACACGCTGTTTCCGTACTGTAAACCGGAGTTCCAGGACGAACCGTACTACATCCGAAACAGTAGCAGCAACTAAGTCGACGCGAGTGAGTCGCAGCAGCCCCCCGCCGCTCAATCTGTTGTGACGACGACGTATATCATAGTAATAGAGAAAGGAGAGAACAGAGTCTCGCGTCTTCTTTCTCGACACCAGTTAGTTCGAAGCACAAGTAATACAAATAAATGCACGTGATGGCTTTATGCCGTCTGACCTTCTTCGTCCACAGAGGCTTTTGCAGTCCGGCGGACCCATTACTACAGGGCCGTAGGGCAATTGTTGCACTCAAGCAGGTGCAGAAGTGCAGCAGTTGC